CTGGAAGAGAGGGACAGGGCCACCAGCCGTGTCTGCCAGTCAGCCATGCTGGCGCACACCGGAACGGCTGCGTATAGCCACCAGATGGGCTTCCCCGTGCCAGGTTATTGCAGCTGCCTGGAGAGAAGAGTGCCGCTGGCGGAGCTGTCTGCACCTGGATGGAATGATGTAACTACAGGAATGCTGGATTCACAGGCGTGGACAAGCTCTCTGGGGAAAATCAGCAGCCTCAGGCCTGAAAGTATGGCTGATTCCACTGCAATAGGCATGGTCAGATTTGTCTGATGGGACGGGCTGCTTCCTGGGGGGACCAGATGGCTTTGAGTTTATGTAAAAGCTGAAGTCCCATCCAAACGAACATATTCTTTATTTCCCAATCCTCAAGATAAGCGGAAATCATGGGCCAGGCTTAAACTTAAATGCTGACCTGATCTCTCAACCCCACTCGGTACCACTGGGGCAGCTTTAGTCATGGGCTCCCGATCATGCTTTCTTTCAACAAACATTTACCGAATACCAGAAGCAATAATAACTCACATTGTTTGAGTGACTGTTCTGGGACAGGCATTGAGTCAGATACGGCCCCGCATCTTCTTATTCAATACTCATAGAACTGTATGATTTAGAAAATCCGTTTCATAGGTGTGAAAACTGGAATCTAAGAAGTGAGGCAGCCTGCCCAAGGATCGCACAGCCAATGAGAGGGAGAGCAGCCTGCCAGACAGTGTTATGGCTTGAATGTCCCCTCCAAATTTCATATTGAAATTTAATTGATATTATGATGGTTTTAAGAGATAGGACCTGAGGCCAGTGGGTGGCATGGTGGTTAAGGTGCTGAACTCCCACATGGTGGACTGTAGTTCAGGTCCCCAACCTGGCAGCTTGCTTTCTCACTTTCCTTCTCTCCCTGTCTCTCCCTCTTACTCTCTCCCAGTGAGTGCACATGCCTATGACAGATTAAAAATAATAATAATAATAAATGAAATTTTAAAAAGAGGTAGGACCTTTAAGAGGTGATTAGATCATGAGTGCTTTGCCCTTGTGGATGAATTAAATGATGCCCTTATTGTAGAAGTAGGTTAGTTATCTTGGGAGTGGGGGAGTGGATTCCTGATCAAAGGATGAAGCTCAGCCCCCTCTGTCTACCTCACATACTCACACCTGCCTTCTGCCATGGGATGACACAGCATGAAGGCCCTTGTCAGATGTACCTCTTGAACTTCCCTGCCTTCAGAACCACGCGCCAAATAAATTTCTGTTCTTCATAAATTACCCAGTCTATGGTACTCTGGGATAGCAGCAGAAAACAGACTAAGATAGCCAACCATTTGTGTGCCTGAGTTCAGGCGATGCCCTCTCTCCACCTTTCAGTTGAGTTCTCTCATTCATTCACTCCACAAACAACACACTTTGTTCTCTCAAGGAGGTCTCCCCCTCAGCCCACTGACATGCTCAAGTATGTAGTGTCCTGACACTCCAGCCCGCTCTGGCACTGTTTATTCTTCTGCCTCACAGCTTTTTCAGGTAGGTTTAACCCTACTGTCACGCAGTTCCTTCATGATGCCTTGTCACCACTCTCCTGACTCTTCCAGTGGCTGGCCTTTTGACCTCTGCTGTTCCTCAGATTCTTCCTGGCTCAGCCCCCATGACATTTCTTCCAGGAAGTCTTCCTTAACTACTCCCTCCTCTGCATTTATGACTCCCTGTGTGATCTCAACACATACTTTATCCCTAACATGATATCCCATATTAAGTTTACTGTTTTGGTTTCTACTTGTCAGTATTTCTTGTTAAATGGAGTTGCATGAAGTTGACAACTGGCACCAGACAGCACACAGCACATCGTGGGTACTCAAAATTGTCTGTCAGCCAAACAGACCAAGCTCACGCACCACACATCCCAAGGCATGGACGATAAAAGAACAAACCTGGTATTTCAACACAAGGAGGTAAACACAACCTCATGGGTGTCACTCATTCTTGGGAGAGGGGAAAATCTAAGAGAAACATGGCAGCTGAACTATATGGGGAAGAATCTAACACAGGCTAAACGGGCAACTCTGGAGTCTTGGCTCCCCAGGGACTACCTGTGGTAACTAGAGGAAGTTATTTTACCTCTCTGAGCCTCAGTTTTTCCATCTATAAACTGAGACTAAGTAACATACAGGCCTGTATGAGGATTAAATGGGATAATTCATGTGAAGTGTTGATAACACTAAATTGCCAATACTTAGTGAATATTATTTTTATCTTACTTGTTCATAAAGGGATTTGCTAGAAAATGGGGAGAAACAAAACTAAGAAGAAGCAATAGTTATAATATTAAGTCATTGGGAAAGTCATGACACTACATAGAAAAACATAGAAAAAAATAAATCCATGACATTTTCAACAACCCAATAGTTCAACAATATAACACAACCCCCTCCCCAACCCCAAGGCAGATTAAACAAACAAACAAACAAACAAAAACTCAGGTCAGAAGTTACCAACCGGAGACTCACAAGCTTTTAAAAACATTAATTAACTGCCATATTTTAAGATGATGAAGATTTACATTATGAAAAAATAATCTAGAATTTTTACTCCTGTTAAAAAAAATAAAAATAGAAGATTTGGAAGCTCTGGGCTCCCACTTCCCATGGCAGGATTTCTGTAGGAAGTGATGACTTCAGAATGGGCATGTGCTCTCCAACTCACGGCGGCCCCTCCAGGCCCTGCTGAATCTTAGCTGGAACACATCACACTCTAAGTGTCTGAGGTGGTGACCCCCGCCAGCAATGATGCCTTCACAGTGGCAGTATAATTTGTTCTGTCAACGGTTCTCTGCCCAAGGGTCTGTGACATTTCCTAGTGCTCCCATCACTGAACTGAAACATTGCTACCTTCTCCATCTGGGTACCACCCAGCCTCAATTCCCATGACCACCACCCCCCCCGACATGCCCTCCATCCTCACTAGCCTGTCTCTGCTTCCCTCACACCCTACAGGCTGGCCTGGCCTCAGCCCCCTTCTGCTCGCCTAAATTCCTCTCTCCTGTGATGATCTGGCTCAAGTCCAGCTACCCTCATGAGTTTCACGCCCTGAGGGTGGTCTCCCTTCCCCAGGCTGGCACTACACTTGGGACAGGGGTGACTATTATTAAAGTGCAATTAGCCATTTCCAGTCTTTACCCTGAAAAGAAATCTCCTTATTTGCTCAGTTTCCCTTCTTTTCCACGGGAGATTCCACCTCTGGAATCTCTGTCCTTGTGAGGCCTACTCCTGGACTTCAGTGATTTAAAACAAAGTTAGAATGGGTTGGGGGTAGGGACAGAACTAGGGATGTGGGAGGTAAGGGGAACAGGAAGAGAAAACTGGGGCAGCCCTGGAGTGGGCAGTTGAGAGAAGGGGCAGAGCAGTTGGTGCCAGGGTGGGGAAGGGCCCCCGCAGTGCTGCAGCCCGGCCACTGCTTACTCAGGAGGTCTGAAGCACACCTTTGGGCCCGCTTGGATCTGCTTCTCTGTGGCAGTCCTGCCTTCCATAGGGGATCAGAAGCTTCCTAAAGGCTGGCTAAGAGTGCTCCTCCCAACCCCTCAGAGCCCCTGGCCCAGGGCCGAGCCCAGGGACTGCACAGACCCACCTGTGTCCTCAGGTGCTCTCAGGTCAATGGCCTGAAGATGTTGGGCATACAAGAGTGTGGGTTCCTCGATTTCACCTCCTGGCAGAAGTCTGCAGAGATCAGGTACCAGCATGGTTTTGTGTCCAGGAGAATAACCTGGAAGATGCTCTAGACTAGAGAGTGGGAGCCGGCATTGCAGTCACCTGGGAGGGGAGGGAGAGGGTTGTTAAAATAGATTGCTGGGCCCCACCCCCAGAGCTTCTGATTCAGGAGGTCTGGGGCTGCTGAGCCCAAGATAATTGTTTCTCTAACAACTTCCCTGCCGGTGCTGGTGCTGCTGGTCCAGAACCACACTTTGAGAAACTCAGCTCTAGAGTTCCGGCGGAGGTCTAACCCCAAAGTCACCCCTTCGCCACTCCCCTCCCACCCACTGCGCTACCTAGCAGTTCCTACGACCTTCCTCTTCAGTGTCTTTACGTGGCCCGTGGAGGTCTTGGCTGAGCGGAGGGTGCCCCCTTGTGGCATATAAAGAAAATTACTGTGACGCCTACTCCGAAAACCCCTTGAAGGGGTTTACCCAACATTTCCTATTATCTGCCAGATAAGATCCAGGGAAGCTTAACGTGTTCATGCTTCACCAGATCTTGTCCACCTGCAGGGGAGGGGCTCAGGGCCTACTCAGCATGACTGGGCCAAACACCTGGCCCACAGGTTTCAGAGGATGGCAGAAATTAAAAGATTTTAACAGAGTGAGAAAGTGTCCTAGGACAGTTGTCCAAGGCAGACACGCACTGAATTCTTTGTTGGAGACTATGTCTTTGCAATATGTTAGAAATAAGCCATTTCAAACACTGAATGAGGAGGGAGAATCTCCACACACACACACACACACACACACCCACTTGGTTGAAGTGAGAAAGTTGCATTGTTAATCCTGGTCGAGTGCAAAAGCACTCTGGAACACTTGTCACCAGCTCTGTCACCAACTATGATGCAGGCCGGCAAGGCGACATCTCAGCTTTTAGCGGCCCAAACAATACCGGCCTGGGGCCTGGGATTCACCGCCACCTACTGCTCAGGCCTGGAGTAAGCCGGAGTTGACTACAGGAAACAGCTGAGCCGCTCTCCTCAGACCAGAGTGTTAGAATCCCCTGGAAGTCTTGTTAAACCGTGGAGAGTTCTGGGTTCTATCCGCAGAGGTTCTGATTCGGCAGTAATGGGGTGGGGGCTGAGGGTATACTCTCTAGTAAATTCCTGGGTGATGCTGATGGCGCTGGGCGAGGGACACCTCTTTGGGTGACATTATAACTCTACTTGTACCACATACGTATAAAGCTTGATTTTAATCTAGCAACATTTGTAATTTATCAAAAGCCTCTAATTCAGTACTCCTCAGCCTGGGCATTTCTGATATTTTGACATGCAAATTCTTTGTTGTGGGTCTGGTGGGGGGCGGGGGGGTGAGCTGTCCTGCATATTGTAGAGTGCTTTGCAGAATTCCTGGCCTCTACCCACCAGATGCCAGTTGCAGCTTCCACCTCCCCAAGGTTTTTGAAGAATTCTTTATCTTAGGATCAGCTGATGGTGTAATGATTAAGTCACTAGACTCTACATAGTCGACTGCAGTTTGAGTCCCAGACCAGGTGGTTTAAAACTCACACCAGGCGTGTGTGTGTGCATGCCCAAAATCCTGAGTGGAGAATGGAGGAGAAGGGATTGTGACATGGCCACCCCCCCCGGGGAGATATCTCTTGTTTCCTGTCTCTCTGTTTCTCCAACAAGTGCATGCACCCTATAGCAAAAATTGTCTCTCTCTAAAAAAATTATTTATCTTTATTATTATTTTAAGTTTGCTACAGGGCACATGTACTCACCAGAGAGAGAACAAGCTGCCAGGTCTGGGATTCAAACCGCAGTCATGTGGTAGTCCAGAGCCTTAATTACCATGCCACCTCTCTGTCTTTCTGGTGAGCGCACGTGCCCTATAGCAAAAACCTCCAAAAAAAATTTTTTTTTCTTTACAGGTATTCCTCGTTTAATGACCCAGTTACATGCCTATGAGTGGGTCATTAAACAAATTGGTCAATAAACACGATGCTTAATGGCAGCGGGCCTGTGGTATGTTAAGGCATGATCGGGTATATATTTTTCCATAGATACCCTGTGACACCACACTAGGATAATGCAATTCCATCCATAGCTAAAGCATACATTAGACAAGCATCAGAAAGCATGACCTGCATCAGTGCAATAATATAAAACTGGGTAACCGTTTTTATTTACTCTGAATACTGTTGTGAGTGTGCAATGAAGTACAAGTTTAAAAATACAGTATGTAGTCTTGCCTGATTGTGAATGCTTCGTGTAGTGAAGACTAACCAACTGCAGGAGCAAGACAAAGGCTGAGCAGAGGGATTCCCGAGACTCACACAGACTGAGAACGGCGATTCCCTGTGCTGGAGAACCAGTCATAAGCCCACATGGTCACTAAGTAGGAGGTCATAAGCCCACATGGTCACTAAGTAGGCAGGTCATTAAGTGAGGAGCGGCTGTATTCATGAGAGAGCCTGTGTGAGCACATGAGAGTGAGAGAGATGAGCGCCCTCCACAGGGTCAGGGCATACTGCAATGGCCCTCCTCCAGTGTTGCAGCCTGTTGGATCCTGGGTACAGGTGTACACGCCCAGCATGCCCCAGGCTGACCAGGCCGGGGACTCAAACCATGGTTGCCACGTGGGAACCTGCTTCTCTTGAGCAGCACATTACCATTGCACCACAAAGTCATTAGCACTGCTAATGTTTTTTCATGTGTCATCCATATTTTAGAATGGTTGATATAGTTTACATTCTTGTTTTTATACGTACTGTGTATTTCACTCTGACAGCAAACCTTCACTCACTCTGGCCACCGTTCAAGCTCTCCAGAGCCCCACGGGCCCCACTGAATAGTGCAGGTCTACCTCTGAGCCAACCTCTTTGGCTCTGTCCAGCTGCCTTCTAGACGAGTGTCAGTTTTACTTCGATGTCCTTCAGCGTCTGCCTGCACGTCAGCTATCTACTCACGGGCTTGCCCACCTCTCCAAGTATTTCTATGTATTTTAAAATGAGATCTATGGTTTTTGTTTCTGTTTTCTTTTCTTTTCTTTTCTTTTCTTTTCTTTTCTTTTCTTTTCTTTTCTTTTCTTTTCTTTTCTTTTCTTTTCTTTTCTGGAGTGGTTTTCTTTTCTCTTTTCTTTTCTTTTCTTTTCTTTTCTTTTCTTTTCTTTTCTTTTCTTTTCTTTTCTTTTCT